TATTTATAAAAATGATGTCAGGTGCTGCTCTCACTGAGCTCTCAGCCCTGGAAGCACACATGAAAGCAACATTGTTGACTTTGCTGGTATTCGGCTAGGATAGAATTTTAATTGCAGACAATACATTGAAAGAGTTTTTAGGGCAAAAAGTTGCGGTAAAGACACAAAGATCAGTTTTGAATCCTTGAGCAGATTTTTGTGCGTGACAGGATCTGACTCAGTGCTAGAAGGTAAAGACAGAGGGAACAGCTGCATTTCTTAACTACGATAAAATAAATATTTTCTTACATTAGTCTCATAAGCTTAAATTTTGCCTTTTTCTTAGACTAAGGGTGTCACCCAGTGGCCGATGAAGTTATCACCATTTCCTGAAAATGATAGCTCATGCTAGAATACAACACAATGCATTTTACCTCTTAGGAAAAACTGGAATAGAAACTCAGACCAGCCCAGCAAATGCAGGAGCCTCCGGCAGATGCGTGCGGGCTGGAGAAGGCAGCTGGGTATAAGCCCTTCCTGGTGGCAGCACCTGCTCTGGGCCAGGGGCTGTGCCAGTCCCGGCACCCTCCAACCCTCCTGCCGAGCAGGCTGCAGACCCAGATCCTGACTGGTTCTCTAACAAATGAACCTTATACATGAACAGCATGATGTGGGCACTGCCTCTTGCTTTACAATGAGCAATGCTTGTTTTCAAGCGGGACGACAAGAACCACAAGCTGTTCATTTTCTCACATTCTGTCTGCTGTTTGCAGGGTTTATTTTTATGCCTCATTTCTGCTGTTCCTGCTTTCCCTTCTGTACATCACCACGGCATAGCTGCTCACCGGGCTGGTTGCTGAGTGCAGACCAACAGCCACAGACCAACATCCTGCTGCAATCACCTCAGCAGGCATGGAAAGCGGTGAGAGATGCAGTGTGAATTCAGCTGGGCTCACTCTTTTTAGGCACCTGAAAAGGTGTGAAGAAACAAACGCCACTCTTTGTCAGCACTACACATCACCATCTCTCAGCAGAGCCCGCGGGTGTGCCCAGGGGTGAGCAGGATTCGTGCGCCTCGATGTGCTGCAGCCTGTGCCTGCCCTGCCCTGGCACCCCGGCCTGGCAACGGGCGGTGGGGAAGAGCGAGGTTATTAGCGGAGCAGACCCTGACAGCCCTTTTGCAAATGATAAAAAAATGCAAACTCGCATGTTTGGTGCTCCAGACCCACCAATGGACTAATCAGAATGCCCTCATTAGAAGTGTGTAAAATGTTTTTGTGATTTTGCTGCTGAGTGCCCTGCTGGGCACAGCTCCGGCCCAGCGCAGTGGCCAGCCCAGGGCAGGTGCTCAGCGCCTGCAAGGCCCTGTGCTCCCACCCTGTCTGCTCCGGCCCTCAGTCGTGTGCAGGGGAGGTACACGGAGAAGGGCCGTGCTGCACAAGGGCCACCCGAAAATCCAGGGGCTCCTGCATGCTGCCTGGAGCCAGCAGCGACCCCTGTACCTGTGTCATCGCTCTTTGTTGCACAGCACATGATGACATGACCACAAACAACATTCTGAGTGTTTTATTAACAAGTATAATACATATGCATTGTATACTAAATATAGGATGAGGACTGTACAGTACAAATTTATGTTCACAGTTTGACATGACAAAATGTCATTACTGAATTCCCATTGGACTACTGAAGTAGAAACAGTGAAAGTACATCAAACATTCACATCTTTAGTAAGAAAAGATTACCAAAATGTCTCCGTATTTGCAATGTATAGTGATGTATGCTAGAAACCCATTCAGTCTTATTAGCTTATAAAATATATTACATTTTATTTAAAAAATTCTGCATAGTTTATACAAGTATTATAGTAAATATAACATCCCTGCTATAGTTGCAGGTGAGAGATGCTAAGCAGAAAGATTATTTTGACCCTCTAATATTTAAAGTACATTTTAAAAAGTGCTAATATCTGTAAAATATAATGAAAACCGGTGTAGCCCTCTTAAGATACGTAAAATGCTTTTTAATTTTGTATAGAAAGGATTTGCATTCATCTACGTGTTGCTAACCTTGACAGAGAACAACATATTTGGACAAAATGCAGCATTAGAAATATCACTGCAGAACGGCAGTGTATATTTAAATAAAACCACACACATTAATACCTGCTTAGCTTTTTGCAATTGTCTTAGAAACCAGTAATTTATTATAATCAAATGGCTTAAACAGGCACATTTTAGTAGAACAGGATGACCTATTACACACTGCACAGTGCAGTACTGCAGGGAAAAAGGTAGGGTTTTTAAATATGTATGTTCTGCAGGATTAGGGTTTTTTATCTTCATATCTAAACTGGCTTCTCTTTAGGGCAAAGATTGAAGGACTAGCTTTAAAAAGTATTTAGTTGTGTACATTTAAAAATTACTAGATACCCCTCAAATCAGAGTTTGCTAAAATGAATCAATGAGCCAGCTGATTCACATTTTCATCTGAAAGCATTTGTGACTTTTTTGACATCCCACAAAAAGACACCACAGACACAAGTGAAAAATCCTATAAGCAAGGCATTTACATGAAACAATCTCAAATATTTATATTTAATATTTAAATTTCAGTTGTCCTACATCACAAGGCACATGAATAAAGATATTTTAAAGTTCTGTTGAATCTCCACTGTATTTGTCCTCACCATCAGCATAAATACTTTCAGGAAAAAGGTACAGAGGCTAATGAATGAACATGGCAAATAAACTAGATTAAATACTCCAAAGTAACACTTAGTTACAAACAATTTCTGCTTTTAGGGCACTTGAATTTAGACTTCTAATTTAAAAAAACAAAAAAAACAAAAAAACCAAAAAACTTAAGAAAACATTTTGAGAAAGCCTTAAGGGAGAAACAGAGCATTAGAAAGAAATGTTCCTTAAAAATCCCAAATTCTATGCATTTGCATTTGTTAAGCTAAAAACGTGACCAGTTGCCATTAAGCTGCTTGTTTTGATAGGATC